GGTTTTGGTGCTTGTGATGCATTTTGGACACACTACTCTTGATTGTAAATATTTAATAGTGGATTTGATGAGTTTTTGAGAAGAACTAGTTGATTATATTTTGCCATTTTAGTTGTGGAATTATTATGTATTCAAGTGTTATTATGAAGGTTCCAAGAGGTATGTATGGTTAGGCTACGTATTGTTACAAGTCCTCATGTAACGATACGGCCGGGTCATGTCCTAGAAGTGGGGCGTGACATGTAAAGGTTTTGTTCTTTGAGTGTCATAGGTCAGTCGGCGAGAGCGAGCTCCTCCACCAAAACCCTAGCCTTGCTGATGTAGTCAGCTGCGAACATGTCTCCTTGATCAAGTGTCTGCAATTGTCCGAGTAGATTGAGACCCCGGGAGCGGGAAGACGACGCGAGCGCACCAACCACAGCAGTCTAGACAGCCCGACTGGTGCGGTGGCCGATGGCGTGAGGCATGACCTCATCGGAGAAGGCCGACATCAACATGGACAATAAGGCTTGGTCCTGCCAAACCCATGCACGATGCGCCGGATTGAGCTGCGCAGTTGCCGTATCATCGTCGTCGCCAGTTAGGGTGGTTGGAGGACATAGATTCGTTCCATCAACAAAACCAAGAAGATTGTGACCATCAAGAAAAGGAACAACTTGGGCTCTCCAAAACAGGAAGTTCTTGTAGGTCAACTTAATGCTGATGAAGTGGTGAGCGGTGGATAAATAATTAACCACCGACGTAGCGGAAGAGATAGGAGCATTAGAGACGGTCCGTTCAGAGGAATTAACAGATCCGTCTGCCATTGGAAAGAAAACTCTAGCTTAGCTGATACCAGATAAGAGCTAATAGAGTTGTGTATTGAATAATAATAATACAATGTACAGATTACATGTATATATAAGAAGGAAGTATCAGAGAGACTGAAATAGAGAATTATAATCAAACTCAAATACATAGAGTCTTAATACTTCCACAAAGAAGAGTACACAAGGGTATCTTTTGTATTAAATAAATTAAATTCTAATAGGGTATGAATAACTAATATCATGGAAATAGTCAATTCCATGAAAAACCTCATAATTTTGTAAAGGGAAAATGACACTTTTACACTCTGAATTATAGACTTATAGTATTTTTTTTTTTTTGCTGACTTATTTATGTATTCATATTTGCCCCCTCAATTATTTTAAAAGTGATAATTTTTTCCTCTTTGATGTTAAATGGACGACATTTTGACCCTTAAAATAATTATTTCTATTTGGGTATGAATAACTAATATCATGGAAGGATTACACCAAAAAAAAATATCACGGAAGGCATTGAGATGACTATTCAATGGCAATCAAAATAGCCAATTCCGTGAAAAAAAAGCTTGTAGTTTTATAAATGAACCATCTATTCCATTCTCGGTCTATTTCATAAACCAAACCCTACTTGAAGCTCATGATACTCATACTTCTTTTTAAAATTTTAAATTCTAATAAATATTATTAATATATAACAAATTAAATTATTATTTATAAAGATAACTCTATTACCATAAAACTTATTAACTATTTATTTTTATTTAAATATCTATAATAATCACTTATCATCCCATTTGAATTTCAAGAGTGCTGTTTTCTCATACATACACAAATTTCACTGTCACCATGCATTTCAACATTATCATTAATTACCGCTTTAAAAAAAAAGTATTAGTACGGTCAAGCTTAGCTTGACTTGAAATTAGATAGTTATAGTGGATTTTGAAACTTTTTGAAGATTTGTAGTATATACAAATTTTCGAATTTGCTAGTTAAAAAACATATGATCTTTCAATTGACTGGAGACTAGATTTTGATTAACTGTCCCAAATCAAATAAAATTAAGTCGTCCTAAAACCAGGACCATTATGATCATAACACATATAGTTTCAAGTTATTATTATTATAATAATAATAATTATTATTATTATATAGTAGAGCATACAAATGATATGAGTTCATGAAATTAAAAACAGTAAAATACAACATTGAAATTATTAATATTAAGTAATCCAAACAGCCATTAGGCATACTTCACATAACCACTTACATACATGCATTGACCTTAATCAGTTGAAACAATGAGTTTCTCCAATAAGGATTTAAATATAACGCTATTATTGTACTTAACAAAAAAATAATATAAGATACACCAAAACTGATGTAGAAAACCTCCATATCAACATTATTACTTTCTTCATCACTCGCACCATTAGTGTTAAATAGCAATGAAGATGATGGGTGCTCAGTCCTGTTACAAATGACTTGTAATGGTGGCCCACAGAGATAAGGATTGTCCTTGTAACTGCTTTCATTGAAGGTAGCAAATTGAGCTTTTGGTTCTGGTATGGCACCTGTTAAATTGTTGTGTGCAACACTAAAGAACTCCAATGAAGTGAGCTTCAATAAAGTGTTGGGAATTTTCCCACTCAACTTGTTGTAAGAAAGATCCATACTCTCAATATTATGTAACATTGAGAATGTTTCTGGAATTGTGCCAGAAAGGTTGTTATGTGACAAGTTTAATGCACGAATCTCTGTTAAATCTCCAAACTGAAAAGGAATTTCACCAATTAGCTTATTATTTGAGAGATCGATTCCAGACATATATGTGAGTGGGACTCCTCTATAGTAGTATAAATTTCCTTTTGTTGTAAATCCCACCTCTGAAGGAATGCCATACGTTGGAAAATCAATGATATTTGTTCTAAATTTCCGTGCAGGATCCCTGTAAAATTCGAAAGATCCAGCAAAAACAGGTTCAGATTTTTTATCAGTAGCCTCTAAGCTCAACTTACTCAAACAATGGGGGATCCGACCAATTAGTCGATTACTAGATAAATCCAACATACTTAGTCTCTTAAGCTGACATACTTGCATGGGAATCGTACCTTCAAATTGATTTCCTTTGAGGCTAAGAATGCTCAATTTGGAGATGCTACCTATCCATTCTGGAATTTTTCCAACAAAATCATTATAACTTAAATCAAGTATGACCAAGGGACTGTTATTAAAGAATGCATGTGTGAGATCACCTCCAAGGTGATTTTTACTAAAACCAACATATTGTATGATGGGTGGATTAAGGCAGGATGGAATCAACCCTGTTAAGTTATTCTCTGATAAGTCTAAAACAGAGAGACTTTCAAGGTAACAAAACTCTACAGGGATGGAACCTTTGAGATGATTCTTGGACAAACTGAGTTGTTCTAAATTTGTCATATGACCCATCCGTCTTGGAATTTCTCCAGAAATTTTGTTGTCACTAATATCCAAAATCCGCCATAATGGGATATTAGAAACGCTATCCGATATGGTGCCGGTGAAATTGTTACCATCAAGATACAAGTACTCAAGTGAAGATAAGCACGCAAATTCTTGTACTATCTCTCCTTGCAGCTTATTATTTGACAGTTTGAGAGACATCACTGAGGATAAACCTATCAACACCTCCTTTGGAATATTTCCAGTCAATGAATTGTTTGACAAGTCCAAAAATTTCAAATCTTTCAATTTTCCAAGATTGGAAGGTATTCGACCCTCAAAAAAGTTATAAGAGAGGTTCAATGCATAAACATTTGGAAAGGATGAACTTAAGTTGTTAGGAATCTCTCCACATAACTTGTTGTCGGAGACACCGATTATCCCCATGTTAGTGTTACGATGTGAAGGTAACTTAAAGATTCCTGTGAGAGCATTGGAATTCATTAGAAAACAAATGAGTTTCGTGTTGTTTTGTAGCAACCAGCTGGGAAGTTCTCCCTCCAAATTGTTTTTGGAGATCTCAAAAACCTTCAGATTATGCTGGTATTGAAGAAATGTTGGCAACTTTAGAAGGCCGATGCAATTTGACATAGAAAAGAGTTCAAGTTGGAACTTAGGGACCCAACTTTGTGACTCAATTTCTGTAATCACCTTATTTCCATCAGCGTTAATGCCTCTAAGCTTTGTATGATTAGCAAAAAACCTGAATGAGCTTGGGACTTCAAAGGAAGTACTCGAAATTAATAGATATTTGAGTGACTTGAGTGTTGAAAGCGGAGACAAACCAATGTTTCCGGTAAGGCGATTTTGAGAGAAATCAATCAAATCAAGAGATGATAAATTTTTCAAACATGGTGGAAGTGTTCCCTCCAATTGAGTTTCACTAAACCAAAGCTCTTGGAGGCTCCTTAGTTCACACCAACCTATAATGATGTAATCACAAAAATTTTAAGTTACAAAAGTGAAATGACATACACTAAATTAGTTATTAAGGAGTGTATGGTTATAGCCATAAAAGGAATAACAATTGATAAGAAACGATAATTTTACCTTTATTAGGTAATGTACTTCTCAATTGTGCTCCATTCGCTGATAATACTTTGAGCGAGTTCATTGGTCCAATGTTTTGAAGGAAGTCCTTATGTAGGTAAGAGTAGTCGAGAGATAACTCTTCTAGCATGCTTAGATTTCTCAATGCTTAAATGCCACATACACATAAAACAAAATTAGACAAAAGAAATGGTGTGAGCAGAATGCAAGTAAGATGAGTACATCTTTCATTTTCCTCACCATGAATTGCATCAATGCTTGTAATGTTGTTGTAATCTAATTCGAGGCTCTTAATGGATGGAAGTGTTGCCAAAGACTGTAATAGCTTTGTCATGTTACACTTGATGATGCTTCTTAAGTGCAACTGGAGATGATGACTGCTGTTTTTAATTTGACTTGATGCTCCTAATTCCACATTACAAAATATAAAAGGTTAAGTAAAAGATATATGTTAGGAAAAAATATAATAATTATGTAAAACTAATTGACCTGAAAGGCTTGTAGAGGTCTCAAAGTCCTCAAATGAACTATAACTCAAATCTAAGTCCTCCAAACTGCTCATCAAAGCATTTATATCTGCAGAAAAAGTTGAAGGGTAAATGATTCACGTTGTAGATCGGCAAATATTAATTGAAGATAGAGATTGAATGAAGGAACCTTGTACGTGCAGTGTTCCGTGAAAATTATTTTCTCTCAAACTCAGAAATTTAAGTGAAGGGAACTCTTTAAGTGACTTGAAGATGCTGCTATTAAACCTATTGTTGTCCAAACTCAATCTCTCCAATTTCATTAATCTTCTTCCATCTGTACAAAAACTTAAGTTAGACAACTTATGCTATGATTATGCTATTTGGAAGGTTGTGATTTCGAGCTTCAGTGGAGGCGTTATTAGCTCTTTGTGTTTCAGTAGGTTGAGAAAGTATATGAACAGATACTACAATGTAATAGAGCTAGTAGCATTCAAAAAAAAAAAAAAATGCTATGATTATTCCAAGAATTATTTAACAACATTTATCAATACTTTTTTTTTCAATAATATCGACCTTCAAAATTAATTCAATAAAAAAAAAATTAAGGATATACGTCATAGATAAGGATAACCAATATAAGTAAAATTGCTCTCAGATCACTTCACTGTAAAACTTAATTAGATAAAACTAATTGACCTACCTGAAAAGTTTGCAAAGGTCTCAAGGTCCTCAATATAATTGTTATCCAAATATAATGCCCCAAGATTGCTTAAGCCATTTATGTCTGTAGAATAATTAAGTTGGAAGGCAAATCATTCACATTTTACGTTGGAAAATAATTGAAGGTATAATATGAAGCAATTGCTGTTATATATGCAGGGAAGGAGCCAGAAATTCGATTGAGTGGGGGAGGGGGGGGGGGCGAAGAAGTAGTACGAATTCAGAAATTTTTTCCAGTAAAAGCGAAACATTAAAACAAAAGAGATAATTTAAAAAATAAATAAATAAATTACCTAAGATTTTTTTTATATAATCATTACTTAAAAAATATAGTTGTAAATATTGTTAGATATGTGCGAAAAATAAAACACATCAAAACTTTATAAAAATATTCATAACATATTATGAAACATAATTAATTTGATAAAATAATTTGAATAGAAAACACATTATAAATTACACATATTAAATATTAAAAAAGTGGTCATAGGGGAAGGACTCAAAAATTTATTAATACAAGGATTTGAACCCAAGACTTTTCCCATTAACAAACACATGCCCTTTCCAACTACTCTAAGTCCTTACTTGATAACATTTACTAATTATTTTATACTAATACTAATACCTATACTATATATACATATATACATACAAATATTATATATGGGGTGGGGGTCGGGGTTGGGTTGAGGGGGGCAAATGCCCCCCCTCTGCCTCCGTTCCTGTATATATGGTATATGCAGCTTGTATGAGCAAGGAAGGGTACTTACTACTTGGAAACTTATTATGATTGGTTGAAAAATAAGTGATTAGAAAATTATAATAATAATAATAATAATAATAATACATTTTGTACAACCCTTCAAAAAAATTTGTAAAAGGGCATTTATGTCTTTTAAACATATATTCAATTTCTATTCCTTAACCAACCAAACGTTAGAATACAACTCCTAAAGTCTATTCCTTCTACGAACCAAACAACATAATACAATTCCTATTCTATTCCTTACTTATTCCATTCCCAATGTAATAACATCTCTATTCCCTCCAAATTGATTCCGTGAACCAAACGGGCCATTAATGTAATACAGATAAACTCTTAGAGCATACAATGCATTGTGCACGATATAATTTGCCCTCTGATATTTGCCATGAGTGCCGTCGCTGCCTCTCTGGTTTGCGTGAATGTTGTCGCTATCTATCTGGTCGTCCTCGTCTGCCAGCTACAGTCGCTGTCTCTCTGGTCGTCCTCGTCTGCCGGTGTAGCTATAGCTCCAGGTAAACTGGTAAACAATATTTAGTATTTAGTAATTTATATATTATATTTTTGAAGTATTTAGTAATTAGTAATTAGTTTTGAGTAGTATTTATATTTTTGATGTATTTAGTAATTAGTTTTTAGAATGTTAACTAGTTCCTATGTTAATATGTTTATGTAATCAAATCTCATAGTAATATATTTTTTGTCATGCTAAAAAACAAAGTTACATCATCCGTCAGAAGTGAAAAATATATAGTCAATTTAACATATCATCAAGAAAATGGAAGTGTGATGACAATAATAATATTGTTAATGGCACTAAGCAAAAGTTAATACTTGCTGAAAAACTTCCTCCCATAATCTTGCCGAGAAGGCACCGTTAGCTGTTTTACCTCTTGAAGATGATTTTCCATACACTGTCCGTGTCAATTTCGAAGTCATGACAATAATATTGTGGAGGTATGCTTTTATCTCTAACTAAAGCTACAAACACAGTGCTTGTTTCAAATTTGGTAGGATTCAATATGAAATTCCAGTCTTCTGATATTTGTCTGAGAATTTTCATTCTTCGTTACCCTTGGACTGTAGTTATCAATTTTTCAGAAATGTCCTTTGGTTTAATTTAATTATGAAAATGTTTAATCAATCTTCTATTATCTTGCTTCTTATTCCAACCATGACAGCAGCATAGCTTTAATGGATGCTGGAATTCCAGTAAGACAACATGTTGCAGTTTTATCTGTGGGACTTGTCAGTGATAGTGATCCATCAACTGGAGAAATCAAGGACTATATGATATTAACAGATATATTGGTACATATTATACATAATAACTTGCTTAAGCAATTTCCTTATCCCTGTGGAATTCAGCAAAGTTGACACCCTTTCCCTTCTTCTAGAAAACTTTATCATCCTTTAGTAAAAAAGAGGGTATAAAGTGAAGGTTATTAATGAAGAGTTGATGACCATGTAATGACCCCGAGAATTGTCAGAGAAATAGGGAAAGGAAATAGAAGAGAAATGGGAGAATTACAGAGAATTGGGAGATTGAGAGAAGAAGAAGGTAGGGAAGTTGAAGAGATGTATTAATTTCTGAGTAAGAACAAGCATGAGAAATCCAGTACAGTCCTAGTCCCTATTTATACCCGTTCCTGCCCAGCTGACGTCACAACGGTTATTGAGTGCTCGGGGTGTTACAATACCTTCCCCTCTAAAGATCCTTGTCCCCAAGGATCAAGCAAGGAAAAAACGAATGTATTCGTGCCATTTTGATTTTTGTGATCATTGGTTCCAACCTCATGGCCATCATTTGTTAGAATCACTGAATCTGTAAGCGGAAGAGAAAAGTTCCTACTCTTGGGAGTGCTGGTGGCAGCCTGCAATTTCTGAAAACCCAGAGAAACATTAACATCATTCCTGATTTCAACACTTCATCTTCATAAAGGGCCAGCTCAGTAATCAAAGATGCAGGATCAACAATCTCATCAGAATCAACCAATTTGCATTCAGACATCTTCTCCAGGCAAAGGCCTAAAGCAGCAGTTATGTACGCTTGCTGCTCAATCGGGGCTGATTGAACAAATTCTCTTTTGGAACACATTCTGGTGAGGCGCTGCCTGATATCCATTAGAGCACGGGCACTACATGCTTTTGGAGCCAAAGAAGTACTAGGTGCACATTCACAAACAGCAAAGTAGATAATCCATCTAGAGCAACGTATAGGGAATACTTTCCAGAGTAAAAATTTCTCACAAAACATGGACCTAATTGATGTTTTCCGCTTAAAAATTTGATTGATCATGACCCATAAAATCCAATATACTTCAACATCTCTTACTGTAACACCCCGTGTTACGAATCCTAAAACCAATTGATTAATTAATTAATTAATAGCCCAGGAGAAAGAATAAATTATAATGATTAATTAGGGAAAAAGGCCACCGTAACCCATGGGCCCAAATATATAAACCCAACCCCTAACCCCAATAGGATTAAACTCTAAATAAACCCTTGGATCTATAAATAGAGAACTTAGGGAGCACCTAGAACCCCCACACACCTAGACGCCCCACCACCCCAGGAGAGCTCCAAGAATTCCCTTAGAAGAAATCAAGAAAGCAAGAAAGCTTAAAGAAAGATCCTTCATAGCCAAGGAATTAATTAAGGCTAAAAGATAACCCATGTCTCAACAAAACCTATTTTCATAGCTATGATTTCCCCTTAGGGTTTCCCCCATATTATTGTGTATTGGCGAAATATTATTGATGTTTGATGTGATGATCCCATGAGGGATCTTGATAATCTTGATATTCAGAGATTCTTGATAATTATGATATTCTTGATGATTATATGGAGTTCCTGATGATTATGTGTTGTTCTTGATAATTGGGTGATGATCTTGATGATTATGTGTTATTCTTACCGAATCTTGCAATTAGAAGACGAACCGTATTCTTGTTGATATAAAAGTGATTAGAACCCTAGGTTGTATCGTATGATCTTATTCTTGGATTTATCGGGTGGGGAAATCGCATGATTGGGTGTTGATTATACTTAGAAAAGCATGATAGGTTATGTGCCGTTCATTCCTCGTATTTGATTCGTTAATTGTCTACGGGTTGTCGTTAATTGTGTTGTAAAGTGTCTAAGCATAGTTTCGGGTTCCATAACGGTTCCCGGGGCGTAAAGTGTGTGAAAAGAGTCAGTGGGGGGTAGGTGGGGGGTAGGGGACCCGCCACCTACCCATAGCCGTAAACCACCGCCTGGCAGCGGGTGGCCGGCGGGCGGGCAGCTGCCCACCGGCGACCCGCTGCCCGGAACAGTAGAAACCGGCGGGCAGCCGGCGGGTGGCCCACCACCCACCGGCTACCCGCTGGAAAGTCGTCCCACCCGGGACCCCGGCTTCCCCGTTTGACGTTCCCCGTTCCCCGTGGTGTCCCAACGGACCCCGTTTATCGTGCCTATGTCTAGTTCGATGTTTCGGGTACCGTTCGTAGGTTTATGAGTCTATTATATTGCATGCTAGTTGAATTGGTACCCCGTTGACCTAGGTGGAAGAAGTATGAACCCCTTAGGACTGTTCTTAGTATGTGATGGATCACGCATAGGTTTTGTTATGCGCTTTCTCCCCCTTCCTAATGTGTAATGTGGGTTGCATGTGCTTGCTACGTGTTATGTGTGTGCTACCCCAATTCGGTTGCGACCGGATTGGTTATCCTGAGCTGCGGTTCAGAAGCTGGCTGCGATCAGATTGATACTCTTGGGCTGTGGTCCACCGTTTGGTTGCGATCAAACGTTTCTATACGAGCTGCGGTTCGTCCTTTTTCCTGACTGCGGTCAGATGACATTCTCTTGGGCTGCGGTCCACTGTTTGGTTGCGATCAAACACTATGATGAGCTGCGGTTCATCGGTCGGTTGCGATCGACCCCTCCGTGTTGCGATACGGGGCAGGGTGCTGCGGGGCCGTGTCAGAGCTATATGCGCTGACCCTCATGTATGGGCATGCGATTGGTCCTGTGGCGCCAACAAAGTGTGTTATGTGTTGTGATATGCATGAGTTGTGATTATGAGTGTCTTGGGGGATGTGACTATGGGACTTATATTGGGGATTGTTCATGTTGGGTTATGATTATTGTTTATGCCTTGCCTTATCTGCCTTATTTATTGTGAACTGCATATGCTCGTTATAACTGTTGCTTGTGTCTGGCCTTA